TTTGGTAAAAATCAGTAAAGCTTAGGTTTACATAACTATAGACCAGTTTACAAAAAGGAAAATGYAACCAAAAAAAGTATGCAGGCAGGTCTGACATGTTTAGTCATGTCAGTAAATAAGATGTTGACTTTGGTCCAGATTTGTCAGAACCTGTTCATGCGTGGGCTGTCGTTGGTGGGCTGGTACCACAGTCACCCGCGGGGTCCGGCTCTGCCCTCRCTGCAGGACATCGACTCCCAGATGGATCATCAGCTGAGGCTGCAGGGCTCCAATAATGGCTTCCAGCCCTGCCTGGGCATCATCTGTGGTGAGTGGCTGCTGTGGCTCCAGCGTGGTGCTTTAATCCTGGGACAAAATGGTTGATCTAAAATAATAAGTGTACTTCRAAAGGACTTCACTATGTCTGCAGTGTTTAAAAGCTAAAGGTGAACTAGTGGTGTTGAACTCAAAGCTGGTGTGTGAATCAACTAAAAGAAAGGAACACTAAGAGCAAACAAGAGTTAAATTACCCCTAAGCTGTCTGTAAAGGGTTAAAAACTCTTCATRAAGACACTGAAGAGTGGAGATCTGAGAGCAGTGCAGCAGCAGGGACCTGCAGTTTATTACAGAACTTCTATAGCAACAATCTCAGTGAAATTGTGTTGTTTTAACATACAAGTTTTGTCAAAATATAGTTAAAAATCAGAGAAAAAAATGTATTTCCTGTAAAAGCACGTGCAGATGAGTCGTAAAAGAAAAAGGTTAATTTATGCTTTCATAGAAGCTTTCTTTTCTAAATGTGAGTAGCTTTCCATTATAAGACATCAATGTAATGAACTCTGGATCCAGCTGAGTTTCATCTAGATTTTGACTGTTTCAGGTCCATATTACCATGGAAATCAAGGTGTGGCATCTACAATAACTCCGTTCTGGGTTGTACCACCACCTGAGGTCAGGAACACAAACTAACTGTTTTATTGTTCACCTCCTTTCATAAATTTGCCAGTTTGTGCAAAGTAAGAGCTATTTGAGCTCAACAGTGTCTCTGTTCACAGCAAAGACCTAATGACTATGGAATCCCTGTGGCAGTGGAGGTCACATATGTGCAGGACAACTTCCTTACCAGYGATGTTCTCAATGAGATGGTACCGAAGGAGAAACTCAAGTTCCATAAAACTAATTCAGAATTTAAAAAAAGTCTTATTATTCAGACTAGTAAAGAGCTAAAGATGTTCATTTCCTCCTCAGATGCTGCTGGTGGAATACTACAGAGCAGCTCCAGAYCTGGTCCAGTTCAACCAGTACTGGTGTCCTGATACGACCATRATGGACAAGATCAAGGTAGGAGTCACTAAATACAACCAGTTATTTTTCCACCTGAGCWTCAGGTTTTTCCAGGTCTGATGTAACCGCTCTCCTTCTGCAGGGCTCTCTGAGTTGCCACGCCCCCAAAGACCAGGCCTACTCGCAGATCTTGGAGCACGTCTACAGTCAGCTGAGCAACATGCACTGAGGTCCGTTAAGCTCAGGTGACGTGACGGCGCTGCAGCAGCTGATGAGATGTACTGTGTAAATCATACTTGAGTCATGACTAACGCCTGGTTCACACTGCAAGATGATTGTRTCGATTTTTGSCCCTTAAGGGCRTCCYGATTATCGTGATGGCTCTAAATATAATCTGATGAGATATTCCTRCCGTGTGTGGTGTGTTAGGAGTTATCTAGAAGGAATTTTGGACCACTTCCATCTCGAATTGAGGATATTCAACATGTTGGATTGTCTTGGCCTGATATCAGCGTGATGTTTGGAGGACAAGCGAGCTCGCAGCCTGTTGAATGTGGCGTGTAGCCAATCAGAACGTGAGGTGACAGAAACACAGAAGAGATTCCAAAATACAGAAGACAAAAGGCTGCCGTGGAACACCAGAAAGTCTGGTGAGCGTCAAAGACGTTTGTTTTTTTCTGTTAAAAATAGTCCACAATCTGTCACAATTGCATCTTCCTTATCRGCCATTTTTATTTATTCTGAAGTCAAGTTTGCTCTTGAAAGGTTTCGTGAGATTTCCTGTCTGACGTGACTGTTTGATCTGTTTGTKTGTGGCTGTGCATCACACACTGTAGGACCAAACCTGTCAAATTTATGATTTTTATTGTCGTGTGGGGTTTCTCAGTCRTTGAAAATGAACAATTTTAAAATCTTGCCGTGTGAACCATGCGTAGGTCTGATACAGCACTATAGAGTTAAAACTAACATCTGTGATTATGTGCTGCTCCTGAAAGTTGTATTTATGAGCAGAAAAAAAAACGAACACTGTCCAATCAAAGGAACAATGAAACATTTCAAAGGGACACTCAGTAAGGGCATTTGTTAAAGTGAAAAACAGTCAGCCTRAATGACCTCTGACCTTTCACACATGGACCTATGTCTGTTACAGCATCTGATCAGATCTCAGCAGATATGAACCTTTTTAAACCATTAATGTCTTGCAGTCTGGGTAGATTCATGGAATAGTAGTTCAAAAAAATATACACTAACGTATGCAAAAGTAACTGTTTGAATTCCTTGCAGTAGGTTTTGTTCTTGTTTGTGCTTTGTAAGTCCTATTTAAGGGTTGTGGTGCAGGTGTGTTTGTGTGTATGTGTTGTGACTGTACCCAAGAGCCTCTCAGGTGTGTGAGATATAGTCTGGTTGGTTAGGGCAGATATTTGCTTTGTCTTTGACCATTACTGTATTTAATATGAACTGTGATACCAGGACAGAGCAATGCCTTAAGCCTGCTGATTGATGCTCCACAAAGTATTAAACTATACACTGGAACTATTTAAACACGTCTTACTGTCATCTGTTCACCTCATTTTATGACTGACCCCTGTGAAACATCTCTTTGTGACTGGATTTATACAGAGATAAGACAACATTTGGAGGTTTTCTTTTTATTTCCTGTAAGACGTCAGGAGGCAGGGAACAAATAGGAAGCACATACAAATAAAATGAGAATAAAAAAAAATATTGCAGTTAAATTCTGTATTTATACCAAACATTTAAAAATAGCAACTTAAAATTTTAAGATATACAAGGTGTAATGTAGGTTTCCATGCAAAGATTAATTTAAGTGTTTTAAAAGGTCTTGTTTATAAAAAATAATACTAGAAAGATCTATAGCGATGTCATGTTGCGTGAAAGAAAATTTAAGACTGAATACATAGCCCTTTAAGAAAAAAAATGGGGGCTTTTTAAAAATGGATTTGGGGGGGGGGGGGGGGCAAACTTTCCACTGGTGGTCTGCTTTTCAGACTTGTCCTAGAACCTGCCTGTTGTCACTGTGCAGAAATCTGCCAAAGGCTGGAAATAAAATGCGTAGGAAACAAAGAAACGGCTGGGCTAGGTTCTTTTCTTTTCTAAAAAGGCACTAAAACATGCACATAGGTTTTTCACTTTCTTAATACCATGACCCACACACACACACACACACACACACAGAGCACCTCCTCTTGCCCTTAGCAATGACCTACATACAAGTAGTGGGATGTACGGTCACAGATGTAAACAATGAGATGAGGAGTGGGAGGTGATGAACAGACCGAGAAAAAGGAAGAAATAAAACAAAGATAATACAAACGAGCACATATCTGACATTCACAATTATTTTTTTAGTTCATATTACAATTCAATTGAACAAAACGGTAATAACGGCTGAGTTCCTCCTCACAACCATGCTTCCCTTGATGTTTTCCCTTTTAAAATCAAGCTCCTTCCCTCTGACTGGACAGTGAAGGCTTGATATTCAGTCCAGAACAAGGGTCCAGCCTTGTCTGCACTGATTTCTACATCTATCCATCAGCCTAAGGCATGACACCAAATTAAAGTCACTGAATGATCAGAGTTACAGAACACAGTGAGTTTCACATTCTCTGAGAGGACAGTTAGAGGTGAATATAAAAGACTAACCTGCTGCCAGCAGCATCACCTATTCAGGCACTATATGGAGTTGACTGGTGCCTAGAACAGGGCTTTAAACGTCTTGGCAATAAAACGGTAAAAATAAACTAACTTGACTACAATAAACAGCACAGAAGCTACATGAATATATGGCTGTTACAGAATCATTAGCAGTTTAACAGAAGCATTAAAACAATATCTTTCTATTGCATTTTATAATCTATTTTTGGCTCCGTCCATAGAACAGGTTAGCAGGTAATCTCAGGTAACGTTTTGTATTTGACGTTTTAAAGCAACAAATACACACGTCTGAATGAAGTGGCAAGGAGGTGCCACTTCAGCATTCTACCTTTGGGTYAGTGTGAAATGTCTGGGTACATCTGTGACACTGATTTGAACTCAAGTCCAACATGCAGTTAGAACATTTTCTCTCATATTCTGTAAAAACTGAAAACAGGAAAATACTGAAACAAAGGGGGAACACATCGGCCATTAAAAAACGATAACCTGATAATTACTTTAAAATGAAAGATCAAAAAAAGTATCATTGCAGTCAAAACTGTCTAAATCACAAGTTAGACATGAATTTTGGCTCCGTTCCGTCATATTTCAAGTGCTGTCATGACGGTAATTCTCGGTGGAGCCAGAAGATGGCATCAGGGGGTTCCCTTCAGGCCTCAGGTGGTTTTACAATTACTTTTAGTTCTAAAAGGATACTGTTCAGTCATTTACTGAGGTTTGAGGTGTTAGTCTAAATACAAAAAAAAAAAATCTATTTTTTACCTACTGAGACCTACATGAGTCACAGACCACAGGAACAACTGTCACCTCAATAACTGCAACAGTATTAAAAATGCATCTTTTTTTGTATGGCTGATCTGTAAAAAAATATTATTGCTTACAACAGTGCCGTCCGTTTGTCTTTAAAAAAATTCTTCTTACTTTCAGGTGAAGCATGAAAATATTTTGTCTCAGTTCTTCAGTAAACCAGGTGAATACTCTGGTTTGATAATAGATCCAGATCTTGTGTTACAAAAGTGCTCATTTGTGATGACGATGGAGATAAAAGTGAAAATAACAAAACAAAACAAAAAAAAACCTTTGTGGACCGTTCCTTGTCTTTACTTGTCTTGCTCCTCATCATTTCTGCTCTCCTCTTTTTCTCTGTCAGTCTCCTTGTAGCCATTTTGTTGTATTAGTGTGGCAACGGAACAAGGACTTCGACGTAGTTGAGAGGGAAGAACCCGGACTGGCCGTTCAGCATGCCCTCATACCAGTTCTCATCGATCTGATTGGTCAGGGTGATGATGTCGCCCTCGTGGAAGCCCAGCTCGCCCTCGTTCTCTGGCTCGAAGTCGTACAGCGCCTTGCAGCTCGGCTGCTCTGGAGCTAACGGGAGAAAAGAAAAGATGAGAAAAACAGACAAAGAGAAACTTTAGCTTTCAGACACAAAAAGGCACAGAGCCGTTCCAGTTTTACAAGGGAAAAGTTACCCTGCAACGCTTTGGCACGGCACCATGTGTGGTTCGTACCTTTTATTAGTATAACACAGCTTTGGGAAAAAAGTTTTACATTCTGGTGAGCAGTTTCTTTCCACATAAACCAAATCATGTCAGACAGCAGGTTCTTGTAGGACCGCTGTCCTGCCCTTGTTCTTGGCTTTGTCTTTCTGTCTGTGTGACCTCACACAGATCAGCACCGGTCTACACGCAGACAAACAATTTTCTCATTGTATCGAGTTCAGTCAGCACACTGCTGGCCGGGCTCGAGAAAGGTTTTGGTCACTCGTTCCCATTTACGCACTGCTGGATCGGTTTACAGGAGCAGAAAAAGAACCGAACACGTGTTGTTATGGAGTACGGCCAACAATCACAACACTTCAGAACAGGTGGGTAAAAAGAAGCGGCTTGGCCTCGAAAACAAAATCACTCTTTCTGCAGCAAGTTAAAACAAATGAATCCAATGTTTCTTCAATAAATATCTAATACACCAAACAGCAAAACCAAAAATAATAGAAACGTTATGACAAATGAATGCACCATAATCCATGTGCGGTTCCTTCTTTGTTTTTTACTGTTTCTAAATAAAACGGGGAAAAGAAAATAATCGAGGGTGTTTTTTATTTATTTTTTGTTTGTTTTCAAACTAAATTAGGAAAATAATTGCAAAAATAAATGCTACATTTTTAAAAAAATTTAATTTTAATGGTTAAAGTAAATATGAGCTTAATGTTAGTGCACTTTTTGTGACCTTCAGGTGGAACTGGAAATCATGGCCATAACTCCTGGAGCATTTCATTTTCACTTCTCATCATGGATACGTTTGTTTTATTTAGAGGGAATCGGCACGTCTCATTGAAAGCTGATGTTCTTACTGTGAACTAAGTTGTTTTAATATTATAAGTTATGCAGAAAAAAGGTTAAAGTCCAACCATTGCTATCTTTAGGAATCACTTCTGTTTTGCAGCCACTTTAAACTCTTCTTTGGCGATTTCCATCATTTCCAGTTTCTCTACATATTAAAACAAGAACTATATTTTATTTTGGATTTATAGTTGAAGGAAAAATAAACTGTATTTTTAGTTCAATTTAACTTTTTTTTCTCCATTTAGGGTTTAAAACAGAAAAAAAACAAGTTTTTTTTAGATTTTATTTTGAAACAGGAAAAACAAAGAACGAACCATACATGGATTCACAATAATCACTATCAGATGTGAAATTTTGTCTTTTATTCAACATACTTTTGTCTACTGCACAGCCTTAGATTACATTCAGTTACTCTTTTGCCAGATATACAGTATATGTATTATATAAGATTGTTAAAATGTTTATGAATCTCAACATGTAACACAAGTAACATCAAGCTTCGCTGTGTTTAGGTCTGTCACAATAGCAAACTGCCCTTGATATTTGTATCAGAAATGACTGTGACGAACGATAACATTGTTTAGAGACCATTTTAATTTGATACAGTGATTTGCCCCCAGCTTACAGAAGTTTATGAAATTTACATGTATACGTAAAAAAAGAGTTTTGAATTCACCTGGACCGGAGATAAGAAAATAACACAACAGCTGTTGAAGCTTTGCTTCCCACCTTCTCTATCCAAGCTGGCACAGTTTACTCTGTATGAGTCCTCCTCCAGCTACATTAAAAAACTGCGGTCACCCTCACACCACTTACAAAATTTACAGAAGTATGAGAAATTTCCGTAAAGTTACGGTTGAACCGATAGTGTAGTTTGTGAAAACAACGCACAGAACAACAAAACAAACCATTAGGCAAATGAAAATATCAACCGCATTTTTATTTATTGACCTCATTTTAATTTATCGTACGATAAATGATTTATTGCTTATCACAACAGGCCTACCTGTATTCAAATCAAATGCCAACACAAACTTCAGCTTAACTTAAATACTAAAATAAAGTGAGACTGAGTACAAATAAGCTAAACAAAGGGGTTTAGAAGGATTGGAAATAGGTAGTGTTTACGAGCAGTAAAATCAGGTAAAAAAAACAAAATCAATATATATAGAGGGCCGGATAATCTGTGTGTGTGTGTGTGTGTGTGTGTGTGTGTGTGTGTGTGTGTGTGTG